GATGGATGGATGGATGGATGGATGGATGGATGGATGGCATATATTAGTAAAATAGTAGAAAAAAGTAGGAAAGGTGTTCAATAAATCCCTGATCTTACCTGGCTGAAAAGATGTGGCAACACAGTATCTGGGATGGTGCTGGTAAGTCCTGAAATCTGAGGATTCAGTGACAAAACAAATCTTACTTTCCTTCCTAATTAATTGCAAAAATCACTTCTGACTTTATAAATAAATAATATTAAATAGTACAATAAAAAAAAGAGACCTTGGAGGCAGCCCAGTCAATCCATCCTTTCCCGTTTGGGTCGATGTTGAGCAGAACCAAACCCTCCACCATGTCAGGGTTGATCAGCTGAGAGAGGGAGAAACAGAATTCACTTGTTTCCATAGCAACTGCTTCAAAGGAAGCCATGGTACTAATCGCTTAAAACTGGATGATGCAAGTGTAGCTCATTGAATTAATACCATCAAATTACATTTTATACAAGGCCCTCTATAGCTTTATAATCAGCTATTGTATTTTTCAAAGAAAATTCGGCAGCTATAATAAAAAAATATAGTGATATCCTTCCCATGTTTTCAGAGAATTTTATTTGATTGACCAGAAATAACTGGTGGTTATAAAATGTTGGTAAATCAAGTTAAGTCAAACATATCTTCTCACATAAAAAATATAAGTTATTTCTTTGTACATTTTTACATGCAAACATAAATGAAATGCAACAAAGAGTTGAGATGTGCTTTAAGAAATAATTAAACAAGAACCAGAAGCTATAGCAGCAGAGAGCATTCTATTCTTAAAGCTTATTGGAATAAGGTCTAAGATATGAACTCACAGCGAACTTGGCCAGAATATAAGCTCCAGCTCCAACTCCAATCCCAACGATGCTCTTAAATCTGAATAAGATCAGTAATTAATTAATCTACCTTCCCAAAGCAAATGTTAGAAAACTAGTTTTAAAGCAAGGCAGAAAATTAACATCTCAGATGTATTACATTTTAAAAAAGAAAATTAAAGAAATACAATAATTTTTGGCTGCATTCCTTAATATGTTCATACATTTTGTCATAAAGTAACACAGAAAGAGTATCTGGAAGCTAAGCACTAACCCAAAATGCTGCACAACAGTGGGCAGCATGCCGGCCAGCTGTTCCATGGTGGGATACTGGTACCTATGGAGGAAAAGGACAGTGTTGGTATTTTTATTTAGTAAATGACTGATCTAAAAGTCAATAACTGACTCATTTAAAACTTCAAATTAACAATTTTTTATTTAATTTTTTTTTACAGATGTTTTCATTCCCACCATCTGTGAAAATCAAATAAAAGCAAAACCATCAAGGTAAATTCAAAATGAATGTAATTCTAATTAATAATTGGCAATAGCATTTTAAATTACGTTCCATTTTTATTACAAAATCATTTTTTTTCTGCCTACTGAGTGTATATTTACAGTATATATATAAATCTTAATCTTTTTATTGCATTTCACTGCCTTAGTTTATACTCAAAGTTGCTGCATTAAAAATGGCAGCACTGCAACAGCAAATAAAAATGTCTTAAAATAAGTGCATTTGCTTCTAATTTGAGGAGGTAAATAAGATGATCTTTTAATTAGTCATAGGGAATTGGCTGTTCCAACCTTCCAAACAGTTAGCAACTTAGTGCTAGTAGGTTCCCAATGGGAAACTACATTGGGACCAAGAGGCACTTAGCAACAACACTGACAAGGAACGCTATGAACATGTTTGTAACGTACATGTTTGAGCCCTTGCCTCGCAGCGCTGCCAGTTCTGTTACACTGCAAAAAATCTAAATCTAGATAAGTAATTTTTTCTTAAAATAAGTGCATTTGTTCTTGAATTGAAGAGGTAAAAGAGACATTCTGCCAATGGAACAAGACAATTTACACTTAAAATAAGAAAACACAACTGCATTGTCTTATTTCAAGTGCATATTATCTAATTATCTTATTTTAAGAGTAAAATTACTCATTCCATTGGCAAACTAGCTCATTTATCTACTCAAATTAAGGGTAAATACACTTAATTTAAGAAATTTTTACTTATTTCTAGATCATTTTTGCAGTGAAGCTCTACGCTTGCTAAAGACACAGACGTCCATCCCAAAACATTGGGACGGAACTCAATGGTAAAGTAGATTAATCTTATTTCTTATTTCAACTGTTGCGTATATTAGCTGCGACATATGAATCAAGATGCTGCGACCTAAAAGATTTGATTGACAGATTACATTTGATATATGATTGGCCGAATTTAAGTTTACAAGCTGACGTATAACTAACTGACGTATAACAAAAAAAAAAAAAAAAACAGGATTTTTTTTTTTTATAGAATTTTCTAACTTTTTGGACAATATAGTCTGATAAAGAGTACATTTATATACATGCTTAAGCCAGAATGATTTGACATTTAAATAGGATTTCCCTATGATTTAAGGGTGTATTTTTTTTTTTCTTAAAAACTTAGCTTTCATTTCTTGCATTGGATTAAAAAATGCTAAAAGTTCTCTTTCTTGCATGAAAAGTATAACATAATAATAATCAACTTATGTAAATAAGAAAAAATTCTTAAACAATCCTTAACCAATCTTTAAACTAAAAGCCAATTTTTAAAAATGTGTTTCCAATACTTAATCATTGCCCCTTAATTATAGGCTTAAACATTTGATAATTAAAGCTTTTGGTAATGAGCCTGTCTTAATTCATTGGTGAAACCTGTCTTTAAGAAAATTAAAAACCAAGTGTTTTATACCCTTGTGGGAACTGTGAAGCTCCAACGTGTTGTCCAGGGGCGTCGACATGACAAATCACAAAGTGTTTGGTGATTTCCTGCATGTCCTCGTTATTGAAGAAAGGGTTGAAGCACATCTTGTCTGAAAGAGGGAAAAAGAAAGGAGAGGAAATAAGGAAAGGAAGTAAGGAGCGACAGAGAGGAAGGGTAGGAGCAGAAAAACGTTACCATAACAGGCAGATTTCTTAAAGGTAACCATCTTTACAGGTAATCTGCCCCATATTCAGGGAGTTATAATCAAAGCAAACCCAACTGATATGTTGCTTATACTGCATGTTTATTTCCAAACTTTAAAAATTATGTAGCATTCTAAAAATGAAGCAAGTTCAGAAGTTTTTATTTACCTCATTGCTTTGTTTTTTTATTTTGCTTTTTCTAACTGACGCAATGAAAGCTAAAGTCTTGGATGCACAAACAGCACAAATAAAAAAAAAAAAAAGGATTTTTTTTTTTTTGTCTCTTAATAATGTTAGTGGGATTTAGCAAAATAAGATTAGTCTTCAAGCTTTCTGGGATCAAGTTATTCCTTTACAGTCATGGAAACATTATTAGGCCAACTTGTTTTCTTTTTTTTTCCTTCAACAACATCAGGGATTCTAATCAAATGACATCAGAGGACATTTCAAGTTTATAATTAGCATTACTTCATTTAGTTCTGTATTGTTTAGTTCAGGTTTACACTACAAATTTTGAAGGATAAGTAAGTTATTTTTAAATAAGTTGATTTTCACTTGATTTGCTGTGAGCAGGTAAATAACATAATTTGAATATGATGATTTATGTTTAAAATAGGGGGAAAAAGAACTCCTAAGCTGCCAAAACACATGATGGTGGAAATATAAAGATGTTTTGAGTTTTTGATGACTTCACAAAGCAGTTTGTTGTGGGATGGACTCACAAAGGATTAGTTTCAAATTTAGAGGCCTGTTTCCTCAAGCACAGCAGGAAAACTCAAAACATTAAACAGAGGAATATCTTGATCCAGAGTGTCAGCGCTTCCTCCGCCCTCCTCCCACCGGCTCTGCAGTTGTCCTACTTTCAGCCCATGTGTGTCCAAATCAGTGAAACCAGGCACCAACAATGTTTCCTCCTTTGGGCTCTGACAGAGCGGCTTTAATTAAACGGACCAATTAACATGACAACTGGGTTAGAGAAGAAAAGTAGGAGAAGGGCAGGAAAAAAAAGGGCATGTTTAGTGAGAACAGCAGCGTTCTGCACCGCGGACTGTGTGTGATGGAAGTGAGCATAATTAAGGTGAGAACACGCTGAATCATTGAACGCTTGGTGTCTGCACTCCCCCTGACTCCATGACCTACTTTCTCTTTTTGTACTTTCTTTATCTCACTCTCTGCATTCGCCACTGAACTGCAGTGATTTCTGCAGCTCGACCTCCTTCCTACATCCAAAAACAAACCTCTGCTTCTCTATTTCTAATCTCCCTGTCTTCATTTCAGCCCCCTCCCTTTTTTGCATGTTCTCTTCCCTTGAATGAGTTTGATTGGACATCTGGCATTTCCATGCCATCTGCTTAATAAGACTGATTTTATTAGAAGAATGAACTTCCACTGAATCTCAGTCATGTTTCTTAATATTTGCACTGCAAAAACTTTCTAGAAGCAAAAAATATCTTTAATTAAGTGTATTTACAACTAATATGAGTAGGTAAGTGAAGTGATTTGCCAACGGACTGAGTATTCTTTTCTCTTAAAATAAGAGAATTAGATTATTGCGATTCAAATAAGACAATGCAATTGTTTTTTCTTATTTTAAAAGTGTCTCACTCACATCCGCAATTTAAGGAAATATTGACTTATTTTAAGCAAAAGTTACTTCTTCAGATTTCATTTTTTTGCTGTGTGTTTAATGTTTTCTCCTCCTTGCTTTACAGCGGTGTGCTGCAGTGAACTACTGCAGTGAAATACATAAACATTCCTTTGTTTCTGCTTCAACATGCTCTTTATTTTCATATATATATCCCTTAGTGTACAGGTGTATTATTAGATTTCTTAATAACAAAGACACCAGATGAAAAACAACAACCTGATATCCGCAGTCATGCCAGCAAACCACCCCCCATCCCCATCCCACCTCCACCCATAGATGCAGCGCCGCATTGCCGCTGGTTGGCCCCGCCCACCCCTCTCTGCAGGATAGGGATGTTTTTCTGACCTATATTTCATCAGTGCCTCGTTCATCACCTCTTTACTATTTTTGGCTCCATATTTTTTAACGACCCTCCCCCAGAGACACTGTCGGTCTCTTTATTGTTTCTCGTATGTCTAATTCATTGCAAGAGCAATCAGGATTTAATGCACACTGGCATGCAAGGCATTCAGTGACTCTGACCTTTGACATACATGTGGCGACAGCTCAACGCAAGAGTGTGTAATGCCAAGATGTGAGATTCTGCACAGAGCATAACATATTATCTATGCTAAGCTTTTTAAAACACATTTCTTTTGTCCTTAATGAAGATAAATTAACATCTAATTTACTGGATAAACTAATAACTGAGGTTGTCTTAATGTGTTTAATTGAGGTCTATCTATTTTTAATCTGACATCTGATAGTGATAATCCTGCCTTTTCTGCCATTTCAAGCCTGCTAATCTGAACACGCATAAATCTGGCCCCTTTCACTCAGTGTAAAGGTAGATTAGTCGAGGTTTTAGGTTTGATTCTCGACCATTCAACATTTTACCTTTTACTGGTTTGAAATAAACATAGTAATTATTTAAACCCCTTTGACTATCTTTGTGATTTGACATTTTGTGAGAAAAAAATTAAGAAAAAACCACAATCGAATCTGATATAATGCAAGATAACAGCACTCAGTCAGAGCATGGCTGAAATGAATATTGCATTCTTGGTTAGATTGAAAAGGATGCATTTGGTGGCTAAAGTGAAACATTGTTTGATTGCAGTGTGTTTATAGCTTCCTATTTTTAAAACTTGAATTAATATGAACAAAAAAAAAATCACAAATAGACAAACACACACACTCATATGTTAATATTTTCCTGTCATAAGGAGTCACGTTCTTTAATAGTCCTTTCATTTGGAGTTGCTAAAAAGCAAGAGTGAGAAAGGTCAGCATTCCTTTTTAGATTGAAATCCCATTTTCCAAATAACCAGACCCTCATGAAGAGTAGGATTATTCTACATTAATTAGTATATTTGGCTAGTCTAAATGTTAAAAATTTCAAAATGCCATAAACAGCACGGGAAGAGACATTAACTGTTCATTTAGAATCCAGCCTCAGCTATGAGTTTTTTCATGGTTTGTAGAACATGCGGATAATGAGACATAGCGTGTGCGCGAGCATTTAAAACGTGTGAACAGTTTAATCTCTGCAGCTTTTTCAGAGCTTACTTCTCTACAGGCCGTAATGTATAACACTGGGTGTTTAAATAAGTAAAGCTGGCGTAGGCAGCAAAAGGTATTTATGTTTTTAAGCTCTTCTCTGTGACCATTTCCCTCCCCAACTCAGAGGCCTAATGGGAGATCAGCTTCAACCACTCGTTTTATTTCGCTCTGTCAAGCACAAACAGGCAGAAGCAAATTTCTGCCTTTTTATGTGAGCTGGACCCACATCAATATATAGAGAGTGAAGAATCTGGGTTTAAAGGGATCTATCATTATACATCGCACACATCATTATAACAAAAATAATTTAATTAACCTTTGTGGTTAATAAAGTATTTTCAATTGAATGAGCAACTATTGGTTTTATTTATCATCACTATACGTTTTCAGGTATTTACCGTTACTATTTCTCCATCTTAAAATAAAATGCATTTGAACGCAGCAATTGTGATACACAGCTTCCAGTTCATTGCATCTCCATCAACAATACACTAACCCAAGATTTCCCTGATAACCTTGTCTCTAGAAGCGTCTATTTGCAGAGCAAACCTTCATATCTGTTTGTCTGTTTCACTTACATGTGAAGGACAAATCATTCCAATTTAAACAGATTGCAAAAGCCACAATATTGAATACTAATTAATCTGATCTCAGTAAAACTTATTAGAATTGTTTCTAAGGTAGGGAAATGCCCACAGTGACTGTAAGAAGCATTTTTACTTTGCTTTGAAGTTCTTAACTTCTAACTTAGTTGTAGTTGTGACTTCAGCCCTTTGAGGTGTTGTGTATCACACAGAAAGGGCTGGATGTGTTCTTGAAACATAAAAAGAAAGTTAATTATCACCTCTGAGAAGTGCAGAAACAGTAACAGCTGGTAACACATTACATGTTTTCTTTTGAAAACTCACGGTTCAGCCCCACGTCATGGTAGGTGAGGATGGCAGGCTTGTTTCCTTTGGGGGCCCCTCGGATCACCACGTGCAGCATCCCGTAAGGGGTCTCAACATCATGTTCCTGTGAAACATGCAAAAACACAGACTCACCTGGTGGCTCTACCAACAGACACATCAAAGGACGACACGTAAACTTAAGGTTTTTCAGTATTGAATAACTAAATAAGAACCAATTCAGGCCAATTTATCTTTGTCATCCATTATTGGAAGATAGTTATTACAACCAATAAAGCATGATGAGCTTCGTGTAAATATATCATGTTTTTAAGAATAAAATGGCAAAGACCTTTAAAAGTAAAATCAGAAAACACAATAAAAAAACAATTAAATACGCTATCACATAAAAGTTTTGTGAAAACAATAAAACTGCAGTTTTTGTTTATTTTTATCAA